TCTTGCTCCTCTGTCTGCCAATCTGATGAACATGTCTGGGTTTTGCAGTTGCCAGAAGAACTGTACTTGCCTGACTGCATTGTGCCAAGTGTAAAGTTTGGAGAGTAAAGTGGTGGAGAGGGGATTATGGTGTGGGGGTTGTTTTTCAGGGGTGGATTAGTTCCAGTAAAGGGAACTCTTAAGGCGTCGGTTTATTTAGGGCATTTGTGACAATTTCATGCTCCCAACTTTGTGGGAACAGTTTGGGGATGGTTCCTGTTCCAACATGACTGCGCACCAGTGCGCAAAGCAAGGTCCATAAAGACATGGATGAACGATTTTGGGGTGGAGGAACTTGACTGGCCTGCACAGAGTCCTGACCTCAACCTGACAGAACACCTTTGGGATGAATTAGAGTGGAGACTGCGAGCCAGGCCTTCTCTTCTGACATTAGTGCTTGACCGCACAAATGCGCTTCTGGAAGAATGGTCAAACATTCCCATAGACACACTCCTAAACCTTGTGGACAGCCTTCCCAGAAGAGTTGAAGCTGTTATAGCTGCAAAGGGTGGGCCAACTCCTTATTGAACCCTACGGACTAATGCAGGCCATAGACGGGGAGAAAACCGGACTTTTTTTTTTTTAGAAAAACGAAAAAAATAGCCGACGTTACCACCATTGGTAAAAAAAAAATGGCTGATTTTCTCCCCGTCTACGGCCGGCAATTATATAGAATATGCAGAAGAAGAAGAAATAGAATATGCAGAAGAAGTTGAAATAGCTATACTTTTAAATGTCAAATATAATATCGGACTGAAATTCTTCTTATTAATTCTTCTTATTCATATTCTATTTCTTCTTTTTCTTCTCCTTCTACTTCTTAATATTCTATTTCTTCTATTTCTTCTTCTGCTTTATATTCTATTTCTTCTCTTTTATTCATATTCTATTTCTTCTTCTCATTCATATTCTTTTTTTTTTCCTTTTCTTCTTTTCCTCCTTCTTTCATGTCACTGCTCATGCGCATTTATTAAAATCGGAAAAAGATCGGCAGATTTGTCCATCATTGCCGCGAAAATCATCAGAATGACAAATTTGGCCGATTTTTTTCCAGCAAGATCGATAATCAAAAAGGGCAAAAATCACTAAAAACGGCCGACCAATTACCGCACTAACGATCGAAAAATCGGACGATTTTTCATCCCATCTATGGCCCGCATAAGACTGGATGCCATTAAAGTTCATGTGCGTGTAAAGGCAGGCGTCCCAATACTTTTGGCAATATAGTGTACCTATGAGCATGTGTTTGTAGTGTGCTAGGAAACCCATGCAGACACAGGGAGAACATGCAAACTGCAGGTAGGTAGTGCCATAGTTGGGATCGAACTGACAAACCTAGTGATGCTAGGTGAAAGTGCTAACCACTTTGCCACTGTGATTATCAACAAACCAAAGATACATTTGCATATATGGCTTATTCATCTTAATTTGTGCATGCTAACAACAAATAAATATTGTTCATATTAGAGAGGACACGTCTTCTGACACATGGATGGCATCATTGCAGTATTCTCATTGTTGTTCAGAATTTGTGTGTGCTATCGCCTATTAAAATAGTTCCAAGCCCTAACTGAAAAACATTTTGTTTGCTTAAGCACTGTTGGTCATTAACAACCTTGTTTTTTTTTTACTTTTAATATGACTGTTCTCACATTTTTCACCCTTTGTTGCATCCCAGATGGTGACAACGGTCATGTACAATGAGCAAAGGCATGAATGCTAGTATTCACCACCACCAGACGTGCACATGAGAGTGACTATGCAGAAGACAAAGACAGAGTGTCGTCACCCTATCCCAAGAGGTGTTTGAACCAAATACTTCATGACAGGATTACCTGTAACATTTTAATGAAAGAAAAAGAGAATTATTATTATTATTATTATACAGGATTTATATAGCGCCAGCAGTTTGCTCAGCGCTTTACAATATAAAGGGAGACAATACAGCAACAATACAGTTCAATACAAGAGGGAAAGGAGGGCCCTGCTCCTTAGAGCTTACAATCTAGGAGAATTACTTATGTAATTCCATTAACATGTTAAAGAATAATTGAGATTTTTTGAGCATGGGTTTATAGTGTATATACAATAAGTAAGATTTCAGGAATAATGTATAAGGTTACATTATCAGTTGAATCTGTTGGCAGCTGTTTGCTGCTCTCATCCATCATGAGAGCTGAGATTTTTACTCAGGATGCAGGGGGACAAGGGCACCTATGCACACAGGCAAAGTTTAAATTCCTTTGGACCTGAAAGGTTTAGAGTTTTTTTTTTTTTAGTTCTTAGTTAACCAGTTTAGTTGTCATCACTGTATACTCTCTATTGTCCAGGGCATTTTCAGGGTAAATGAGGCTTTCTTTTGGTAACATGGTCTTTAAACAATATTTTAGTTTTTATGTAATATAAAGAAAAAATACAGAACAAACTTGTTTTAAAAAGTAATTTTTTACACGTTGACCAGCATTTTTTAAAAACTTGTTTTATTTGTATTACTGTAGATGAAAAATACAAATGTACATTTTGTTGTATATTGTATAAATTGCCTGATCTATAATGACACTACAATTCCATTTCTGATACAAAGCATTGTGAAGGTATTTGCAAATTAATAAAGGCTTTGTTTTCACTTTTTCAATGCACCATAAAAAATGAAGGGTTCTTGCACATGGGCTTCAATAACGCCACATTGTTAGGTGTTCAGGCTTTTTTTTTGTTACTCATCTGAATGCAATCCATTGTTTTCAATAGGCATGTGTATACACTTGAATAAATATCAGTAAACTAGTGCCATTTTTTAAAAAAATTCCAAAAACCTGTCTAACTGGACAGTATTTTACACACGTACATGAACATGTGTGCAACTGCAAGTGTTACTCACCCTGAATAGTAGATTACATCATAGCTAGAAGAATTTAAATGCATGCACTATGAGGATCATACTCACATTTTTTGTGCAAGGGACTTAGCAAATAAAATAATAATCATTTTAAAAATGTATAGTGCACCTTGCACTCCATGCAAGGTCTGCTTAAATGTTGCCACCACCTACTTTCTTTAATGCTGACTAAAAGTATAAAAAAAGTCACCTGTAGCAAGAAAAAAGTTAGATAATAATATTACTCCATCTCCATTACAGGGGGTGATGTCATCCTCCTGGTAACGGGATCTCTGGGAATGCTGAGTACTCCCAATCTTCTGAGAAGATGCTGCAGCAGTGTTGGGTAAGTATTCTCAGTGAAATTTGGCTACTCTACATTTTATGGGATTTTGCTGACATCATCTTTGCCTAGGCACTGCAGGCAGAAGCCAGAGGAAAGGTGAGTATATTATTTCATTTTGTTTATCCTAAAGGTGTTTTTTTACACTTTAGGCCTTTGTTTTAGCAAGGGGGAGGGGTGGCACATTTAAAAAATTGACCTTTCTTTTTAAGTGCAAGGTCCACTTTAAAAGCTAATAAAAAAAAAAAAAAAAAACACAAAAAATCTGCAAAAATATAATAAAGGTATTTGGGACTGGTTAGGATTACCTAAAGGTTATCAAGTAGTGAAACAAACACAATTTATTCAAAGTTGTTTTTTACATGTAAAGTTGTTTTGAATGATGACCTATGCAGATCCAAGGTAACTAGTGACCACTAATGGTAAATTAGTGGAGTAAATTCCATGTAACAATAATGTTGTCATGATTGTTAATTAAGCTTCCAAACACCGTTTAGAAATGTCATTTTACACAGCATCATCTACAGACTGAATTGGCCAATGCCACTAAAAAGCCTGGTTACAATATGTCTGACAACACCTTGGCATCCCTCACCAGTCTTTTATTTATGACATTCAGGCTTTGTGGCATTGAGGCTTCTTTCTGGCAACTCAACCATGCAGCTCATTTTTGTTCAAGTATCATATTATTGTGTTCCTTCAAAACAACCACACCGTCTTTTTCCAGAGCAGCCTGTGTGTTTTTCTTTGCATCCCAAGCAATTCTTCTGGCAGTTGTGGCTGCAATTTTTTCTTGGCCTACCTGACTTTGGATTGGTATCCAGATATCTCAGAATGTTCCACTTCTTAGTAAGTGATTGAACAGTACTGGCTGGCTAATTCAAGGCTTTTGGATATCTTTTTATATCTTTATAAAGTTTTATAACCTTGTTACGCAGGTCTTTTGAAAGTTCTTTTCTGCTCTCTATGCATCCACATGAGAGCTAACAAATGCATTGGCTACTTATACACAGACATTAAATGCAATTTAAAAAGGCACAGATCTGGGAAGTTAACCTTTAATTGCAATTTTAACATGTGTGTTACACATCTGTCTGTACCAAGGCCAAACATTCTAGGGTATGTAAATTTTTGATCATGGCCATTTGGTTGATTTCTGTTATCATTATTATTATTTAAAAAGGGGCCAAACAACTGTGTGATAATAAATAACTTCATATGATCACTATCCTTGAAGACTGTTTTTTTTGCCATGATCAGTCATATTTTCAATATCAGTGCCAAAATGTCATGATTTCTGCCAGGGTATGCAAACTTTTGAGCACAACTGTATATGCCCCTCAGGACAAGAAAGAATTTATAGGATTTTTAAGGTGTATTATCTCTAAAAAAATCATCATTACACACACATGCAGAATGTGTTACTTCGTATCACCCTAGGTGGATGTCATATGTCATATATAATTTTCAGGTTTCAGTGCTGTCGCACTTTGAATGACAATTGCGGGGTCATGCAACACTGCACCCATATGAAATTTTTATCATTTTTTTGAGACAGATAGTGCTTTCTTTTGGTGGTATTTAATCACCTCTGGGTTTTTTTTTTTTTGCTAAACAAACCAAAAACAACTGAAAATTTTGAAAAAAACATAGTTTTTTCTTAGTTTTTGTTTTAAAAAATTTTGTAAATAAGTGACTTTTCTCCTTCATTGATATGCACTAATAAGGCTGCAGTGATGGGCACTGATAGGTGGCACTAATGGGCACTGATAGGTGGCACTGATGAGGAGGCACTGGTAGGTGGCACTGATGGGCATTGACAGGCATCACTGATGGGCACTGAAAGGCAGCACTCATATATGGCACTGATAGGTGGAACTGATAGGCTGTACTGACTGGTACTGATAGGCGGCACTGACTGGCACTGTTAGGTGGCACTGATAGGCAGCACTGATGGGCACTGATAGGCTGCACTGATGCACACTGTTAGTCAGCACTGATGCGCACTGATAGGTGGGACTGAATGGCAGCACTGATAGGTGGCACTGACTGGCACTGATAGGTGACACTGAAAGGCAGCTCAAATGGGCACTGATATGTGGCATTGATGTGCACTGTTAGGCACTGATATGTGGCATTGATGTGACACTGATAGGTGACATTGATGAGCACTGACAGCTGGCACTGATGGACACTGACAGGTGGCACTGCTGGGGCTACACTGATCATCAGGGCACACTGATCATCAGTGCCCTGATGATCAGTGTACATGTCCCCTCCGAGGAATGCCGATTACCGGCTCTCCTCTCCTCTCGAGCTGTCACCTTGACAGCTCGTGAGGAGAGAAATGCAGATAACCAGCATTTCCCTATTTACATGAGATCAGCTGTGATTGGACAAAAGCTGATCACATGACCGAGCCGAAATCTTCGGCTCTTTCCATTGATTGGTGATCCGCTGTGTCCGAGGGACACAGCGCACCACCGATTGCCGTGCTGCGCACTCCCGAAGCCGCGCATGCGCAGTTAGAATGGGAGGATGTCATATGACATCCTCCCAGAATGAGAGAACCACCTTGCGTCCGTCATTGCCTTATATGGCGGGCGGGAGGTGGTTAATAAATCTCCTAAAGACATTAACCACTTCCATACCGGGCACTTTCACCCCCTTCCTGCCCAGGCCAATTTTCAGCTTTCAGCATTGTTGCACTTTGAACGACAATTGCGCAGGGTTTTTTTTGCGCACAAATAGAGCTTTCTTTTGATGGTATGGTATTTAAAAATTTTTGTTACATACAAACATCTTTTTTAAAAAATTTTTGTTACATAAAATAACTCGAATCAATGTAAAAAAGTCCAAAAAAAGTGTTTTCAATATTTTTTTTGGCCTGAACATGCTCTCACCAGTGCAGTTCAATGTCATTTATATAACTGGTGTGGTGGTGATCAGGGGGACACCAACTGGTGATAGTATGTAAAAAAAAACTTAGAAGCCCAATCACAATATAATATGATGAATATGATGAAATTCCTCCAATCCGGGGTTCACTATAACTACAACCCTGAAACCCAACCTATATTATACAATGAAAATCATATCATGAACCCAATGTTAGCTGTGGAGGAGTTCTTTGCCTCAACGCATTTTGCTTATTGCTTCTTCAGGTGTGGGTTTTTTTAGAGAAACACATTCATGTTTGATGACATCTGGGAACCCAAATGATACACACAGATCACTATAACAGGAGGATAAAGGGACAAAGCCAGTATAATTCCAACCCCAGGCAGTAATCATATATCTGACCAAACATAGTTACATAGTCTGGCTGAAAAAAGACAAAAGTCTGTCCAGATCAACCATTAAAAAAAATAAGTTATAATCCTACACCCACAGTTGATCCAGAGGAAGGCAAAAAAACCAACAAAGCATGATTCAATTTGCTCCTGCAGGGAAAAAAATTCCTTCCTGATCCCCCGAGAGGCAATCGGATATTCCCTGGATCAATTTTACCTATAAATGTTAGTATCCAGTTATATTCTGTGTATGTAAGAAAGAATTCCAGGCCTTTATTAAATCAATGCACTAAGCTGGCCAGAACCAACTCTTGAGGGAGTCTATTCCACATTTTCACAGCTCTCACTGTGAAGAAACCTTTCCGTTTTTGGAGATTAAATTTCTTTTCCTCCAGACGTAAAGAGTGCCCCCTTGCCCTCTGTGATGACCTCAGGGTGAATAACTCTACACCGAGTTCACTATATGAACCACTGATGTATTTATACATGTTGATCATATCCCCCCTTAATCTCCTCTTCTCAAGAGAGAATCATTTCAGTTCCTCTAATCTTTCCTCATAGCTGATCTCCTCCATGCCTCTTATCAGTTTGGTTGCCCTTCTCTGTACTTTCTCCAGTTCTCCAATGTTCTTTTTGTGAATTGGTGCCCAAAACTGAACTGCATATTCCAGATGAGGTGTTACTAATGATTTGTACAGGGGTAAAATGATATCTCTCTCTCTGGAGTATATACCTCTTTTAATACAAGAGAGGATTTTGCTCGCTTTAGAAAGTGCAGCTTGGCATTGCATGCCATTATCAGGCTTGTGATCTACCAGAACCCCCAGATCCTTCTCCACCATTGATTCCCACAATTGTACTCCCCCTAGTATGTATGATGCATGCATATTCTTAGCCTCCAAGTGCATAACCTTACATTTATCAACATTAAACCTCATTTTCCACATAGTTGCCCAATTAAAGAGTGCTTTGAGGTCGGCTTGTAAGTTGGAGACATCCTGTAAGGACGTTATTCCACTGCACAGCTTGGTGTCATCTGCAACTGGAACTGCGTCAAACGCTTTTGCAAAATCCAAGTATACCACGTCCACCGCCACCCCTCTGTCCCACGTTTTGCTCACCCCCTCATAATAAAAAATCAGATTTGTTTGACAACTTCTGTCATTCATGAATTCATGCTGTCTGTTGCTTAAAATATTTTCTTCCAGCAAGAAATCATCTATGTGGTCTTTTATTAAACTCTCCAGTATCTTCCCAACTATAGAAGTTAAACTAACAGGTCTATAATTACTTGGTAACATTTTGACCCCTTTATAAATATTGGCACCACATTGGCCTTATGTCAGTCCAGTGGTAATATGCCAGTCATTAAAGAATCCCTAAAAATTAGAAACAATGGCTTTGAAATGACAGAGCTCAATTCTTTAAGGACCCATGGGTGTATGCCATCCGGTCCAGGTGTTTTATTCACCTTGTTTAAATATTTTTGGATCGTATCAATTGTGAGCCAACGTGGATCATCTGGAGCTGTGTCAATACCGTGCCCATGCCCATTATGGACAAGAGACCCCCCCATGCTCCTTTGTATACACAGAGCTGAAGAAGGTATTTAATAAATTTGCCTTCTCTTTGTCTCCAGTCACCCACGCTAGATTATTTTGTAAAGGGGCCTACATACTCAGACCGGACCTTTTTACTTTTAATATATTTGAAGAATTTGGTGGGGTTTGTCTGCTATCTTTTGCAATCTGTCGTTTCTTTCACTTTTTTCAAACATGCACTTATAGTTGGTATAGAGTCCCTATTTAGCAAATATCATCTTGTCCCCATAGTGTGTCTGGGTCCAATGTTAAGCACATGTGTCCCCACACAGCATAGCCTGAACAATAAAGGGTCAGATGAATTACATCAAATTACGCTGTGGTTGGGCTTCTAAGGGGTTTGTTTACAGGGGTTGCATATCTTGTATGTTTGTATTATTGTGTGGCTATTTTTTACTTCTTTATTATAATGACTATTATCAGTGGTTAAGTCTCATTAATTTTAAATATATGTGATTTGATGGCTTTTTCAAGTGATAAAAAACCTTAAAAATCCCACAAATTCTTAATATATGTCCTCAGGGGCATATATGTTGTTGTTCTATAGTTTATATTGTATACATTGGTGAAAGGTATGTTTACTCATCAATGAAGTTAATATACACACATTTTATCTGTTGACACTGTTATGTATTTAAATAGAAACATGCAGATTTATAGTGAACTTTTCTAAACAATTAATGAGTGGGCTGTTTTCAGGACTAATGTTTTTTTCTATCTTAATTGAATGAATAATGATTTCCATTTGCAAGCAGGACCGTAAAACAAGCAAACCAGCAACACGAAATGGACAAACATTGAACTACTGCAATAAAAATAACAGTTACTAGTACAAGTTTCCTAGCTCTCTTTAGCTACAATTTAAGTTATGTTGTAATTTTACCTTGTATTTACATTTACAGTATAAAGAAAGGAAACTTAAAATGGGCCTACAATTAAGGATATGCTGAGCTTATTTGTTTTTGATGATTATAATTAATAGAAAACACCAAAGTTTGGATAACGTTTGGATAAAATAAAACATGTTAATTTACAATCAACATTTTGAAGCAATCAATGCGTGGGCTATGTTCAGGACCAATATTTTTCTGTTTTAAGTGTATGCCATTATGGCACTACTGCTGTTAATATAACACAGTCAGAGGAATGGCAAAAACATCATAGATCTCTTTAGCTCGGCTATAAAAGTGGAAGCTCTGCTTGTTTGCCCCCCCCCCCCCCACTGCCATAATTAGCACCTTTTGGGGGGAGGGAGCGGGTACATGGTTTTGACTTTTGGCTCAGTTCGCCACAGCGAAGTGAGCTGGAAGTTCGGCCTCCTCCTTCCTCCTGCAGTCTCCTGGGAACCTTCACAGGTCCCAGAAGACTGCCGGACAAATCAGGAGGCACAGAGCGCATTGGGCACCCGGCTGTGAAGCTGCAAGCTGTCACAGCCTGGTGCCCACAGTTGAGATGCCAGCGCCATGAAGAGAAGGGACAGTGCGGGCATGAGCACAACTGGGACAGGTAAGTATGTGTTTATTACAAATCCTGAGTTCCTTAGATCAGGGGATCTCCAAACTTTCCAAACCACATTTAAATTTCACAGATATATTAGTCCAGGACATGAAACTTTGTGCTGGTTTACAACTGGTGACCAGGTAATATGTGTTTATTACAAATCCTGAGTTCCTTAATCAGGGGATCTCCAAATTTAAACCACATTTTAAATTTCACAGATATTAGTGACCATAAATATGTTTTATAAATGAATAAGTCAAATTTAAAAGAATAATTTGTTTTTGTAATCAGCATGATATAATTCAGAACAACAGAGAAATAAACTAGTAAAACAAAGCAAAGAAATTCCAAATAACCTTGAGCTATTAATAAAAGTCAAACAAAAATCTATGTAGTCTGCAACTTTATCAGAGTCAAAGTCCCCCCTTACATCAGGGTCCCCATCAAAGCTGCATGTGACCCGCAGGCCATAGTGTGAGGACCCGTGTCTTAGACCAGGCCTTGAAATTTACACTCACCTGCTCGCCAATGGCGAGTGAAAATTATGGTGGGGGCGAGTGTGTCGAGTGTGTCCCCCAGGGCCGTCTTGCTGAGTAGGCTTGGAGCTCAGGCCGGATCTGTCATTGTCACTGAGAGCCGTCAGACTGCTCAATAGCTGGGTGCAGTGAAAGCAAAGGAAGGAGTATGTGCTGTGCTCTCTGCCTCCCCCTAGAGTGCAGGGCTCTGTGAGTGAACAACGAAGTACTGCAACTTTTTATAGGGTTTGTGTGTGTCTACCTAATTTCAGCTCACTCTGGTCACATGATCCTCTATGTCAGCCAATGGTGGCTTCATGGGAGAGGAGAGAGCACTTAGCTGCGTGTGTGTGCGTGTACATGTGTTTGTGTGTGTGTATGCATGTACATGTGTTTGTGTGTATGTACATGTGTGTATCTGTACATGTTTATGTGTGTGTACATGTGTCTGTGTTTGTGTATGTACGTACGTGTCTGTGTGTACATGTGTCTGTGTGTGTATGTATGTACATGTGTCTGTGCGTGTGTATTCCTGTGTATGTACATGTATCTGTGTGTATGCGTGTCTGTACGTTCCTGTGTGTATACATGTGACTGTATGTGTGTGTGTGTGTACATGTGTCTCTGTGCATGTATGTACATGTTTCTGTGTGTATATGTACATGTCTGTGTGTGTGTACAGGTGTCTCTGTTTGTGTGTGTTTGTTGTGGGTGAGTAACTCTTAAGGCCTGGCTAGTAGCTCAGGACTTGAAATTTTAAGCCCTATCTTAGACCATTAATAAAGTTTCATATATCAAGGTCTTTATCTTAAATAAATGGTACATAGAACGAAAAGTTAATCACAGATGGTTAAGTAAATCAAAAGCATAACTGATTTACCTGAATTTATACTGTCACACAATTAGTACGTAGTGTGCTGCATTGATTCTTATAATTACTGGACTCCATCCTATCCTTCCAGCCCCAAGTCCAATCTTTAACAAACTCGTGCAGACTCCACCTCCGCAACATCGCCAAAATACGCACGTTCCGAACCCAGAAACCACTAAACAGCTCATCCACTCCCTCATCATATCACGACTCGACTACTGCAACTCACCTCACTGGCCGGCCTCGCCGCTGGCTATCCCCGCTTCAGTTGATCCTGAATACTCCTGCCAGACTCATTCACCTTTCCAACCGCTCCATCTCCGCCACCCCCCCCTTTGCCAATCCCTCCACTGGCTTCTGATTGCGCAATGGATCAAATTCAAAATCCTAACACTGACGTACAAAGCTGTCCACCATACTGCCCCGTACTACATCACTGACCTAATATCCAAGTACCGCCCAGCACGCACACTCCGCTCCTCACAAGACCTCCTTCTCTCTAGTTCCCTGGTCTCCTCCTCCCATGCCCACCTCCAGGACTTCTCCAGGGTGTCACCCATCCTCTGGAACTCCCTACCCAACCCATCAGATTATCACCTACTCTCCTTTCCTTTAGGCGCACCCTGAAAAAAACCATCTCTTCAGGGAAGCCTACCCCACCCCCTGCTAACCTGCCGACCTCCTCCACTCTTCCTACCACTCCATCCCCCACAGCTATCTCCTCCTGTACCACTATCCCCTCCCTCCTAGATTGTAAGCTTGAAAGAGCAGGGCCCTCGATCTCCTCATGTTTTGCATTGTATTGGTATTTTCCTGTAACATTTTCTATCCCCCTTTGTAATGTACAGCGCTGAGCGAAGCATTGGCGCTTTATAAATACTGTATAATAATAATAATAAGCATTACCCTAAAAAAAATCCAGATCTTGTCTTGAATTCCATCTGAAAAACAGCAGTGCATTTCATGTGCTCAGACATTCCTGTGCTTTGGGCCTCATAGCTGTATATCTGTTGCTTGAGTTCGAAGACACTGTGCCTGTGACTGCTCACCTTATAAAAAAAGTGCAGTGATATTTGGTGATGTCACTACTGTTTTGCTCACAGTTCTCCTTGCTGGAAAAGAAGCTGTATCAAAGTACCTGCAGTGAAAGTACCTGCTGCGCCTTGAATATTCCTCCATTGGGCATCCATCCAAGAGTTATCAAGGGGGCAGGGCAGCTCTGACACGAAGAAGCAAAGCCCTTCTTCTGCCAATCTGGCTACCTCCACACAACAACACACAGTGTAGAGCAAGGCATGGTATTTCAGTAATAGGGATAGAATAGCTGCAACAGGTCAGATCCTCTATAAATGTCTCATATTACTTATGGTTATGTGTTTTTCTCATCTCTAGAGAATACAACCCTAGGATAACAGTACCACAAATTGATTATATAGTTTTTCCTTATGCCAAGATTAATTAACAATGAACGTAGTACATAGCTAGCTGTTTATTATTGGTTGCAGAAATCGGAAACAAACCTGTAAAGACATCTATTTCATAATATGACATTTCAGAATACATATCAGTGGCACCTATTAGTTCTTTTTTTTCTCCTACAGTAAACCGATCCATGGATTGTTTCAGCTGGTTCCTGCTTTAGGTTAATTGAAATTTTTACTGCTTCTCTTAATCCTTTCAGTCAACACCAAGTTACATTGAATTAGTTTACAACAAACCACAAATTGCAAATATATGCTTCACATAATAAAAATGTTTCCTTCAAAGGAATTTTGGTTTTCTCTGCGTGTATTTGTGTGTTTTACCTAATCTCTGTGAAAGCCGTTGTTTACCTTTTTAAGCATCTAGAGGTTATGTCTCATTCTGTATAATTCTTTTTTGGTGTTCCAATCAAAACAAGACCCATGTAAGTAGCAAATGGGTAAAAGAGTTCAGAATGTGGCAAAAATCATGTTTGGAGTGTTTATGCATTATGCTGTAGCATTTGCAATCTGTAGATATAAGTCCAAAGTAAATATTATCTTTTCGAAATGTGCAGCGAGGTAAATAGAACACAACTATTATGAAAAATGCATTACTTGAAAAGTAGCTGATAGACAACAGGCTCTTTGTCAGTATAGTTTGTACATTCACAGGAATTGTACTTTCGTTTTCTTTGCTTGTTGAATGACAACATCAAACATTACAGGAGTAAGGGTTCACACATTCCCTCATCCTATGGGATTTTATGGTGTCTTTTTATGTGTATTCACCTTCTCTGGGTGCTCACTGAGGCTCCCTTGTTCATGTTGGCCATCCTTTGAGTATAATGTATCTAAACCCCACACAAATATTGCAGTTTATCAGCTCTTACAGTGTTACTAAACCCACAATAGTACAATCAGTCTGTATATGTAGTAAAGCATGCTTGATCTACTCATTGTGGAACTTATTGTGTAGAAAGGATGTTTGATCCTGTCTTCTCTGACCCTCCCCTTCTTCCACATTCCCCATTTCATCTCCTGATAGAACAGAGCCTCGGGGACACTCTGCACATGCTCAGTGTGGTGTGTGCTGCTAGAGAGTTTTTTCTTTTTCTTGGAAGAGTGTATGTGATCAGCACAGGGCCAATCAGCGCTGTCCAGACAGATAGTCAGAGGTTATGCAATGTCATAGGGCAGTGAGAGGAAAATTAAAACTCCTCCTACAAGCTCTAACCAGTGCTCTGCTGGACACTGATAGAAGTCACAGGACTGCTCTAACCAATGATGAGAGAAAGTATTTAGCAGCTTATTTCTACTAAAATAACTGCATGTCCATGTTGTGTGTACTGTGGGAGACCAGATATAGCGAATGCAGGGTCCTGGGTTTAATAACACTTTAACCACTTCCCGACTGACCTATAGCAGAAATACTGCTATAGGGCGGCACAGGTGCCCAAAATCATGTGTATATATACGTGATTTTGCATTTCAAGGTAGGGGGGCACGCGCAAGGCCCACGCACCACCATTTGTGGCTGCGGCTGTCAATCTCTGGGTCCTGGCCAGTGATTACTCGCCGGCACTCAGTGATTGCCAAGGATCTCTGACTGGGAGGAAGTCTGTTTGTAAGCAAAACAGTTCTCCTCCCTGTCAGCTCGTGCTCACTGCTTTGCATGGCTGTGTACAGCACAGCCACACAAAGCAGTGTGCTTACAGTGAAGCACAGACACACTGCCCCATAGTAAAACACACCCAGCACACAGTTAACCCTTTGATCACCTCCCCACATGTTCACCACTTCCTGCCCAGTGCCATTAGTACAGTGTCAGTGGTCACTGATCACTGTATTGGTGTCACTATGGATGTCAGTGACATCAAGTCAGTTCCCCCCAATGTCAGAATGCCCACCTCAGTCCCGTTATAAGTCGCTGATCGCCGCCATTACTAGTAAAAATAAAAAAAAAAATAAAAAATTCCAGTATATAAATCTGCATTTGTAAATGCTATAACTTTCACGTAAACCAATTCATTTACGCGTATTGGGATTTTTTTTAGAACAGACATGTAGCAGAATACATTTTGGCCTAAATTTATGACGAAATCAGTTTAAAATTTTTTTACTGCACATGTTTAATAGCAAAAAGTCAAAAATATTGTTTTTTTCTCAAAATTATCGTTTTTTTTTTTCTTTTATAAAAAAAAAATTGAAATTGAAAATGCACAGGCAATCAAATACCACCAAAAGAAAGCTCAATTCATGGGGAAAAAAAGGAAATTTCATTTGGGTGCAGTGTTGCATGACCGCGCAATTGTTATTTAAAGTAACGCAGCGCTGTAACACAAAAAATGGCCTGGTCAGGAAGGGGGGAAAATCCTCAGGAGGGCAAGTGGTTACATGTGGGGGCTGCATCAGTTTTTTTTTTTTTTTCCATGCTTTTTTTCCTTTCTTTCATCTGGTGATCCAACCAGTAGTACACTTGCTGTGTTAGGGTGACAATGCTCAGTCCACTGTATCCACAGAGGAGCAGTGTTGTTGCACTAAGCTGCTCTCCTAATTTTGACTTCATTTGGACCTCCATTACATAGAGAAGAGGTGTTTGTAGCTAGCAAAGATAGCTGGGAAAGCTAAAAACATTGCTTGAGATATCAATTCAATGCACAGGAAGTTATATAGGTGTAGCACCCTCCTAGATAGTGCTAGGATTAGTTAGATTCAGTGCTGGCTCACTGTGATCAAGTGAAACTGTGTTTTTTTTTTTTCAGGTAAATTTAGCTTACCCATCTGCATTCAATGTGGCTGCAATTGATTAGTTAGGTCTGTTCAGTGTTCTTAACTGCTGTCAGTCTGTCATGTACCTGATGGGAGACTGAATTGACGAGGTCAGCCTCACTTGTGTCACTAGCTCTGACCCCGCTGAAGCTGGAACAGAGGGAGTCTAGGAACCAGGGGGACAAGAGCGTCAGAGGTTTGCTTGCGGCTCTTGCAGATGATGACCTTGGTAGGCAGGATATCCTCTGATTTTGTACTGTAACAATAGACCAGGCAGGTACCATGGCTTGCCAGATGCACAGCAGAGCCAGGTTTGTAGCCAGGACACAGGACTGGAGCGGAGTCGTAGGATAGCCAGGGTCATAACAGTCGGGCAGCGCGGTACAGGATCAGGAGGAAAAGCCAAAGTCAGAATCAGACCTGAAGTCAGGAACCGGGGGCAGGAGAGTACTCAGAGTCGGGTCAGGAACAAGCCGGGTTAGCACCAAAAGAATCGCACAGGAACAAGCAGGACACAGGGGGAGCTAAAAACCAGTCAGCACCGAATCTGGGCAGAGGTGCACCTTAAATA